CAAGGGATTCTGGGCTAAACCTAGAAGTCGCCATTCGATCAGAATTTTTATAAGATTTCTACTAATATTTTTAGAATACTGAACTGAACTGGATAGAATAATAAACAAATTTTGTCGCATGACTCTCCCTTCAAACCAATTTGTTGTGATTGCTAAGAATTTTATTGTTTTGAATCTTTCACTATATGTAACAATTAATTAAATCGAGTGATAGAAAGTGATTAATGTGACCAACCTTAAAATTTTTTAAAAATAACAAAACTTGAAGCATGTTCTTAAATTAAAAAGTTTACTCATAAAAAAGTTTTTTTTTTTTTTTCAAAGCAAAAAAATTAATTTGTTGCTTAATTTGACAGTAAAGGTAACATATACTCTTAAAAGAAATAACTTTTTACTTATTAGTATGTTATTTAAACATTTTGGAGGATAAAAACTTACTTTAATCAAGTCCGACTTATTTAAACTCAGCCAATTATACTTTGCAAAACTACATTGTTCCCTAATCCAACTTATCAAATATGTCATAACTAGAGTATATATAGTACTTTGGATTATTCTATATGTACAAAATCATGTACAAAATCAATGACAAACTTGACAAGTGGTGCCCCCTGTTGGTGGAGTGGTGGTGGGGCCAACCGCCCCACTAACAGGGAGCCGCCACTTGTCAAGTTTGTCAAACTTTTAGTAATTGATTTTGTACTTGTAGACTAATCCTAGTACTTTTGATCAATAAATAGGAAGAATATAGAATTCCTAAATATATAGTTAACGAGTCAAGACATTGCTCAACTAGCATTGCAAACATTTGAACTTACTTGCCATTGATGCCCAAAAAGAAACCCGCAAGAACTAAATATGTACCAAATGCCATCATAGGAATGTACAAATCTGGTGCATTTATGTCGTAAATTGGAGGTTTGAATGAAAATTCACCCCCTGCAGGCTCCATTGATCTCATCCAGTGTCCCTTCAAATTTACAAAATATAAAAATATCATATAGTATTAAAAATCAGAACAAATATTGTAATAGAAATCATGCGAAATTTATCAGTTTTTTTACCACAAAAACGCATAAATTAAGGTTGTTTATATGGAAGAAGGTACCTTGTGGAGAAATGGAAACAAAACCATCTTCAACTTGTTTTTCACGTAGTCGTCATTCACTTGAAAATAATATCGTGGACTGGATATGAATCTGCTTATCTGTTTGCAACATGGAAAATAAAAAGAAATGAAATTCATTGCTCCACGTTCTCGAAAATCATAAGCATAAATAATTGGGTGGTTTATTGTAAGGAAAAAAATAATTTATACTGAATAAAATTTCGCACGTTGCTTTGAAAATATTCGGTGCCCGATTCTAAAATCTTCTCTTTATAAGCTCCAATTTCAGTTCTGATAAAATCTGATCCTGCTGCATGAAAAACATTTCCAACTGCATCAAATTGCTGACAGGAAGCAGCTGGTATTGACACTCTAGTTTGAAATCCTGAGTTCCTGTTCATGGCTGAAAACACAAAAGAGGAGGAAAGGGAGTTTAGTTCGTTGGAGGAGGAGGAAGAAGAAGAAGAAGAAGAAGAAGAAGAAGAAGAAGAAGAAGAAGATTTTAATTATGCAAGAAACTGAACTTTTGTCCAAAAATCAAAACCTCTTCTATCTGGAGTTTTCTTGATAATATTTTTGTTCAATGATTCTAGGTGAAGGCCAAAGGTGTTGGACTTGCACGATAATAAGGGGGTCGTCCTCGAAGGATTTGATCTTTTGTGAATCAAAATACTTATCTAAATAATAAGAAATTTCCTTTCGGCAATTATATATATGTAAATTCTAGATGTGACAAAGTCCGAAAAATAGTTAAAAGTGAATGTCCATAAAAATTGACATAAATATAGCAGCGATGACATCCATTGATTTTTGTTTCTTCAAGGCAAATTAGTGTCAAGTTTGAATCAATAGGGCGCACAGAATGGACCATTTACAGTCCCGAGTAACATTTCCCAATGATGTGGATAATCACAAAAAGATTACCATTTTTGGCATTATAAAAAAAAAAAAAAAAAAAAAAAAAAAAAATTAAATTAAAATTGTGGAACTACTAAGTCCCTTGTTTGGTTTCGCTGAAAATCAGATTTTAAAGTAAATTTTGATAAAAATAAAATAAAATAATAATAATAAAATATGTAATTGAAAAGTTGACACTCCCTCCTTTCCAATTATATAGGCTTGTTTCGTTTTTACACGAATTAAGATATCTTCTTTAATGTCATTGGAAAATTAATCTTCTAGGCTTGTTTCGTTTTCACACGGGTTAAGATATTTTCTTTAATGGCATTGGAAAATTAATTTTTGTCAAGATCTTTCCTAATTTACTCCTATATAATTTTCAATATGTAGTAGTAAATCATTGTTTGAATTAATAAATAATTTGAATGATTTAATTTGAAAAAGAAGAAATGAGAGTTGTTCCATGTTTCCAAGAAGTGGAAAATGTATGTATTTGAATGATTTCAAGAAGTTAGCATATTAAGTGAGGAAAATTGAATAAGAGTATATTGGTAAAGAAACAAAACAAAATATTTTATATTAAGAAACGGGCCTATATATTTGAAACAAGAGAAAAATGAAATTCAACCCATATAATTGGGGTGGAGTGAGTAAAATGTGTGAATCTCATGAAAAGTATACTTAAAATTAATTTTTAACTTTGATTTAGATTTTTATCAATTTTTTAGTTAAACCAAAGAGTCGAGATTTGTTTGAGTTATAAACTTGTCTATGAATATTCACTAGTCCAATAGCATTGGGGTTCAATGGCTATGACAATAATTGTTAGATATCGCTACCTTGAATTGCTTGTAAACGTACCAAACATTAGTTATCCAATTTAAGTTTTAGATTAATCAGTTATGAGAGAACATCAAGACTGATATTGCAGTGAATATATGAAATCCAGAATAGCAAGTTATTCTCACTTGTCGAGTTGAATAAATGAATACAATCTCATATCGACCAACATCAGTTGATCGAATGGAGATTCATGTTCTGCAGTAATTGCGTACACATGTAAAATTATTGAGTATGAGATTGATGTCTCAAACCAATCTATTACTTATTATTACAAATAAATATTGAAAATTTAAAATTGTAACTTAGCTCTATAATTATTTAATTTGAGACATGTACAAAAAATAAAATAAAATAAAATCATGTAGATTTAAGAAAAGAAAAGAAACATTGGGGTAATTAGGTATTCATTTTCTGAAGTAAATATTTTTCTTAATTTCATTTTATTTTTCTCAAATTACATATATTAAATTTAAATAGAAGATTCAACTGGGCTTTAAGATGTCTGGGCAGCCCATAACATGTAATCAAAAGCTTATGCAAAGCCTTACAAGGGAAAAATTCATAAATCCTGTATTAAGTATGGAGACCTCAAAAATCAAGTCTTAAATTTATAAAATGCAAAAATCAGGTTTATTAGTTAATTAATTAAAAATATTTATTAATGAAATATATTAATGTCACATTTTTACGATTCATGGTCACAGATACATACTTAAAAGTCACATATTTATTTACTAATCACATATCATCAAATTAATTGGTCACAAATTATTCCGAAATCACAAATCAAAAATTTCGTAGGTCACAGATTATTTCAAGGTCATTAATAAAAAAAAATTACTTTTAAGTCACAAATTTCAGAATTTTTAGGTTACAATTAGATCGTGGGTCACAAATTTTGGTCACATACACTAAATATCCCACCTCAATCCCCATCGACGACCAATACTAAGGTCACAATTTGTGACCAATTCTCTCCACTGCCTCCTCCAGTCGTACAGTAGCTAACACCATCGTCGCCAGTATCTCTATCTATACAACCAACAAAACTATCTAAAACCCCCCAACAACACTCAAACCACCACCACACCCTGACGCCACCACTGCTGAAAGCCACAGCAGCTCCAAACTACCACCATGACTACCACCACCACCACCAGCGTAAACACCACCACTACACCCCGATGTCACCATCACTAAAAATCACAGTAACCCCAAACCACCTCCACCACCACCACTCCCCGACGCCAACATAGGGTTGGCAACGGTTCAGTTATGGGTCGGTTCAGCCAAAATTATAACCGCACCACCAATTTTTTGACCATACCATAACCGCACCATAACCACGTAAATCGGTTCGGTTCGGTCATATCTCGGTTCAGCACGGTTCGATTCTGTTCGGTTAATAACCACGAAAATAAATTATTTTTTATAGGTTCATCCGTCAAATTGATATAAAACAATTTATGAAAAAAGTCAATAAAAACAAAAACATAATATTCCAAACGAAAATGCAAACATTATCAAACAATATTCTAAACGAAAATACAAACATTATCCCAATTTTTAATTGTAAAATACAAATTTAACAAACAATATTATAAATATAACAATACTAAACTTTTCCTTCATTCTTAATTGTTGTGTATCGAAGTTATTTGATTCATTCTTTCCCACAAGTCTTATTAGCATTGATCAACACTCAAAGTTGATTTCTATATAGTAAATAAGAAATGTAAGTAGAGAATACAACGATACTACCTATTCCAGAATGGTCTTAACTAAGATTTAAATAATAAAAAAATGTACCTCTTCGTCAGCTTCCTTCTTGCTAAACGTTGCACAATTTCTAGAGTATGATGAAGAAGTAAAATTTTTTACACACAATAGAAAAAAAAATTAATAATAAAAGGAGTCGTGCATGATTTTGTGGTTTGTAAAGAGTAGGGTTTATACTTATATACTGTCATACTAATATTATTATTATGGGGTAATGGTAAGTGGGTTGACCGTCTAAGTCATGTAGATGTAATGGGGGAGGGGGGAGATTTTGTTTTGGGTTAGATAGAAAAGTAGTGTAAATCACAATAATCAATTCAATTGTTTTTTTTTAGCGGGTAATCGGTTCGACGGTGTAAATACCATACCCGCACCGCCACGAACCGGTTCAGTAAAATAAAAACCATATCCGCTCCATTGCACCATTGGTTCGATTTTTTTTGCCCCATTCGGTTCGATTAACCACGATTTTCGATTTTGACGGTTCAAATTGCCATCTCTACGCCAACACTACTAAAAATCGCACCGGAGATAATAGCGACCAAGTTTTTGGCACCACGATTCTTACATTCCTGACAAGCAGCCTCCACCACCACCACACCCTAACATCGCCACCATCGAAAATCACAGTAGTCCTAAACCACCACTACTACCACCATACCCTGACACTCCCACCAATGAAAACCACGACAGCCCCAAACCACTTCTACCATCACCACATCCCGACGCCACCACACTAGCTGCTGTGGTGACCGCACCAGAGAGAGAAGGAGGCGTCGCCATTGGGTGGTGGTGACTGGCTAGGATACAGTGAATTTAGAGAAAGGCGAGAGATGTGAGAGAAAGAATATGGATAAAAATAATTAGGGTTTGGGAGTTAATTTGAATATTTAATTATTATATTAATACCTGATTTTTGCATAATAAAACTTGATCCCTGGTTTTGGATTGTGATCTTTAGATCACTAATATTATGTAATTTCCACGCCTCACAAGGTTCTATCACATTAGAAGAAAATTTTGGCCCCAAATTAGGCTACAAGATCCGGTGGTCAGGTCTCCTATTTTTTTCTTTTTTTTTTTCTTTTTTTATGTATATTGTTAATAGTCGTGCTCGGTGGAATGAGAAACTCTCCTATAAGGCTGTGTTTGGTATATGATATTAAATCGTATAAAGAAATTTTATACCAAGGCTGGTGTAAAAGTTCGTTGATGAAGATAAAAGTTTTGTTAGATGGTTTGTATGCAATCGAGATGTTGGTTCCTTAACAAAAATCCATTCTGGAAGAAAATTATTTTAAAAATCATGCATATGATAGACCAAACAGAAGTTTTTTTTTGTTGTAATTGAATTCTAAAGGAAACAGATTTTTCGGACCGAACTGGCCTAAGTGGGCACGCAGTATAAATGGCGACAGTTGCCCAAGTATACAAAATAGCTCTTATAATTTGGGTTAAGGTCTAGGCGGCCGCCCAGCATATATAACTGGGCGACTTTCAATTATAAAAACTTCTAAAATTTTCCTTCTAGCAATTTTCTTCGTTCTTTGTCCCATTTTGGTCCTCCATGTTAAATTACTTTGATTTTGGTCCTTCAACTTTTTCCAAATACATATTTGTCTCCAAACTTCCATCCATTGGCCAATTTATCCTTCTTTATTTTCTAATTGCTTTGAAACGAGTCAAAACTTAAACAATATAAAATTAATCCAAGTTAAGTAAAATTCAACATTAAAACGACACAAAAAGCTTAGTAATATGATCCAAATAAGTGCACAAAAATGAACTTATCAAATCGCCATGCATATTTTTATGTACTGCAGTTGTATCATACTGATTTTAATCCTTTATAGTTAGCAAAAGCAAATAGTTGAACACA